GCTGACTAGTTGGCGGTGGCTAGCCGAGCTTGACGACTTGTACGACGGCCTCAGTAACGGAGCTGCCACCCAACACCTGAAACGCAGTGGCTGCAGAATCTTGGAATGTTCGAGTCTGCCTTGTTCGTTCTGCCAATGTGTCATGCAAGTAATGTCTTCTCCCTGAATGTTCGGAACGTTTTTGCAAATTGTCTGTACATGTGAAAATGGGTTGCCCATCTTGTGTAGCTTTCCACTACGTGGTTCTCGGCTGTAGTTATCATTGTTATTATGCCTTTATGGTGGGAGATCTGCGCCAAGCCAATGATGGATTACTCAATAGTAGACCATGGTAGACGCTCTGCAGAGCCTGCGAGCCATTGCCCATGACAGACCAGCATGTTGAGATCTATGCATGACGGTCTGTGCATTGTGATATTCCAACAGATCCTGAAACAGTCAAACTCAGGAAATAGCACCATCATTATCACTCAGGCTGCAATATTCATAAAAAGACATATTCATAAATGACATGATGATGATAAATGACATATCTTCAATACCAATGAGCTACATTGTATAGTTATCATAATTATTATTATCATCGTTCTAGCTCATTTTTTCCCCTGTCATAGTCCTGTTTATCATGTTCAGCATAAGCGAAGTTGTGGATCATGCTTGCATGGTTGACTCCAACGCGTACATGCAAGTAATAAATAATAATATTATTTCTGCTTTTCATCTCTTTAAAAGAATTCTACGCATTATTCTCCATCTGCGCATAAAATCTAGACTGACAACCTGCTTGTTAAATCATGCACCTGCTTTCAGGTGTAAAAACCCTGTTGTAGAGGTCTCAGTCCTCAATTGTTAGACTTACCTGTCTTTATAAAGGTAACTTACTCTCTCTCTTTCTCTCTCTCTCTTTCTCTCTCTCTCTCACATCGGACTCCCTCTAGATCCTCAGCCCTCGCTCTGATCTATTTGCAAAGAATGATCTTGCCTTTTCTCCCTCTCCCTCTATCTCTCTCACTCTCTTCGCTATCTCTCTCCTCTATCTCTCCTTATCTCTCTCGCAATGTCTCTGTCTCCTTCCCTCCCTCTCTTTCTGCATCTATGTCTCTTTCTCTTTCTCTCACTGTCTCTCTTTTTCTCTCTCTCTTTTTCTCTCCGAGTCTCTCTCTCTGAGTCGCTCTCCGATTCTCTGTACTACATCTGCAACACCAGGCCAGGAAATTGCCGGCATCTCATTAATTTCTGTTTCCTAGTTTCCTGACATCACGTGATACTTGCGCATTTTCTTGTCGCGGTTCTACATCTTTTTTGGTATTCGGTGCTTGGTCCTGTGGCTGATCCCGAGACCCGTGATCGGTGGAGGCCCAGTTCACCAGCACCCTGCTCCGGCTTCCCGCTTTATGGTCATGTCTTCCTTGGTCTCTGTCTTCCCATCCCGTTCTTTTCCTATGTCTCTGTCTCCCCACTGCGTTCTCTGCTGGACTGTTACTGTGTGCCTCTGTGTAATAATAAAACAATTGACTTCAACACTCGTTAGTTACGTCCAATCGTTGTCTAGTTTTGCCGCACCACAAGTCACACTCGTTAGTTACGTCCAATTGTTGTCTAGTTTTGCCGCACCACAATTCACACTCGCTAGTTACGTCCAATTGTTGTCTTATTTTGCCGCACCACAATTCACACTTGTTAGGTGTCCTCACACTCGCACCTTTCCCTATTTCTTTCTGTGTGTGGTGGTGTGGGGGGGGGGGGGTGTGTGGTGGGGGGGGTGTGGTGGTGGGGGGGTGTGGTGGTGGGGGGGGGGGGGGGGTGTGGTGGTGGGGGGGTGTGGTGGTGGGGGGGGGTGTGGTGGTGGGGGGTGTGTGTGGTGGTGGGGGGGGGGGTGTGTGGTGGTGGGGGGGGGGGGGGTGTGGTGGTGGTGGTGGGGGGTGTGGTGGGGGGGGTGTGTGTGTGGGGGGGTGTGGTGGTGGGGGGGGGGTGTGGTGGTGGTGGGAGGGGGGTGTGTGTGGTGGTGGGGGGGGGGGTGTGGTGGTGGGGGGGGGGGGGTGTGTGTGGTGGTGGTGGGGGGGGGGGGGTGTGGTGGGGGGGGGGTGTGTGGTGGGGGGGGTGTGGTGGGGGGGGGGGCAGTGTGTGGTGGGGGGGTGTGTGTGGTGGGGGGGGGGCAGTGTGTGGTGGGGGGGGGGGGGGTGTGGTGTGGGGGGGGGGGGGTGGTGGTGTGGTGGGGGGGGGGGGGTCACACATTCTTCATTGTTATTATGCATTTACATGTTGCACTATTTCCTTGTTTCTATCATCACTCTACTTCACTTAATCCATTGTCCTTGGTTATTTGGTATTTCACCTCACGGTAATGCTCAAAAGTAGGCTTTCCCCAAATCGACCGGCTTAAAAATTCGCCGAAAACGAGACTTATCGAAAAATCGCTAAGGCTTTCGCCGATTTTGGAAGGTTCCTTTGAGAATTGCCAAGAATCTACCAAATGTTGTTGCAACGTGCGTTTATGAACGAATGATGTTGCTGCAAGCATGACCGCTTGAGCTCTCTACTTCAGTACTTATACAATGGGAATATTGCGTTGAGGTCGTGTGACTCGTGTCCTTTGTCTTCCTCTCAAACAAAAATTAACCATTAGGAAGATCGTTAATGGTAAAATCCCCAAATCGGCCGGCCGAAAACAAGACTTATCGAACAATCCTAAGCTTCTCGCAGATTTTGGAGGGTTCCTTTGAGAATCGCCGAAAATCTACCAAATCTTCCAATACTTCACCAGTATAGAAGCCAATAAGCCAACAATCCTTTTAGCCGATTTCCCAATATATTCCAAATTTGAAGCCGTTTATCGAACGAACAGCTGATTTTGCAGCCGAATCTGATGTATTTTTTTTTTTGACCTTAGCGAAAAGCCGACTAGGCGAAAATAGGGCCGATTTGGGGAAAGCATACTCGAAATTGACTCTACGCTGAAGATCTAAGTATTTTAATTCTCATCGTCCTCTTCCTCTTTCCACTCGTCATCCGCACGATCGTCATCACCACCATCATCCGCCTCGTCCTCTGTCTCTTCACCGACCGTTTCGTCATCGGAAAAAAATCCTCTTCCATCTTCTCCTAATCCGTCTCATTCTCCGTTTCCATACAGACCACTTGTCTCCCATTTGCTAGCTGCTCGTCCCGTGACCCGGCATTGTCCCTCCAGATCCACTTCAATCACTGACAAAATGAAACTGCGCGAATCACCTCCTGTTGGTACAGTCCGCAACGCGCGGTGCTTGGCCGTTTCTGGCATAAATGTCTGTAGAATAGTTTGCTGTTGCTCTCCGAGGTCTCTGGATTAAGGGGGCAGCCTACCCATAAATTTCATATGGCATTCAATTGACCGTAACTTTGGTGTTTCTCAGTGGATTTGAGTGAAATTTTGACCACACACTCCTGCCACTATGCTGGCCCTCAGGACATGATTTACAAGTTCTTGCGCCTCACTGACAGGCTTTCCAGGCCGGAAAAACTCAAATTTCCGGCATAGTGCCACGGTGTGCGAGCCACCCAGGAGTCAAACAAATGCATTTACATTTTTTCACATTTTCGTGCCCATTCTGTCCGTGCGCGGGACCCAAACCTAAAACAAGTCCAGAAGCAGCCATGGGTGGTGGGGTAGGGCCCCTCAACGTGGCCCTGGAATCTGTCACAACGGAACGAGTGGGCGTTCTCTCGCGGACTCCCACAGACCCAAGTCAATTTTTGAATTTTTTTAGGTTTAGGGTGTGCTACGAGGTCGTACCTTTGATACAACATCCAGTGCTGGGACCTCCACAGCAAGCCATTTCCACAGCGCTGCACACCAAATCCAGGATACCCTCAGAAACCGGCAAAGACTGCCACTCACGTTTCACTACTGCCTAGTACTGAATCCTACCTGACTTCTTGACACGACTCAAACTTGCCAAAGTCACTAAATCAACGTCAACTACAATAATCAAGCCACATATCTGCAACGTCACGAGGGTGCTGGCAAAAGTCCTGCTGCACGGCGGCGGGCTTCGCCCGCCGCCGTGCAGCCCAATACGTGGTTTTTTAACGTGATTTTTTGGACTTTTTTGGACTTGGGGCAAAATTCTGCACACTTTCGCGTGTTTCCATAATACGACAAGTTGCGCACGGTCTGCTCACATTCAAATACAGTGCTGCCAACAAATGACAGCATGCAACAAAAAAATCTTTCCTTGCAAGGGCACATTTTCGGCCATAACTCTTGAACGGCTGGTCAGATAGGGACACAATTTTCAGAGAATTTGCAGCTATTCATGCTCTTTTAACTGACGTAGCACTCAATATGAATTTACAAATTCGATTTTTCAGCGAATTTTTGGGTAGTCTGCCGCCTTAAGGGTGTAGACTGTAGGTTCGGTGAGATATCTGCATTGCCTGTCTTCGCTTAGTAGATGCTGCGTGTGCCAGGGTAATTGTGTGAGAGTTGGTGATACCAGCGAGGGTGTAGGTGGGTCCACCCCACCCCCGCCGCCAGAAGAGCCGTTGGCGGTTCCTGTGCTGGCAAGGACAACGGCGGTGCTGATGGAAGTGGCAACTAACGTGTTACTTGGGCGGCCTAGCTCTCTCACACGACACTGCATTTTATGTTGGCTCAGTCTGTACCACTGGCAAAGGGTGTGGGTTCTTGCGTGGTCGATCACGTTTCGGCCGCTTAAATTTAGATTCCTCAAGCAGAATTTACAGCGGTACATGCTGTTTGATACGTGCGATCAGGTGTTGAAGGGTCCTACCAACGTACCGGCTTCCACAACTCCGGCACTCAAATAATTATTGATAAACCAAATGGCTCAAAAGATGGAATGGTGGGACACCTTCCTCACCATGAAAAAATTATTACGTAATCTTGTGGCCTTTTTGTACTTCCTCTACTCTAGTGGTTTTATTGCATCTTAACTACTTCAGTTTCATTGGTTGGTATCAGGGAGTCGTAAAATACCGGGAGGCGACAGGCCACACATTTCACGATCCGAGGATTGCCGCACTCGACCCGCGAAATTTGAAGCGTGATTGAAACGTCGTCGTCATCTTCTTTTTCTCAATTGTTTTTGCTATATGCTTCGAGGCTATTCTGGATCTCCAGAGCGAAAGCTGGTTGTTTCTGATACGTACCACGCATTACCTTAGGTTGAGCCGTGGCTTTTAATTTTTTTTGGAAGTTCACTGCTTTGGAGACGACGGAATGTCAAGGTAAGTTATTCACGAAATGTACTCAAATTTGAATTGAGTCAATGCGAATGACACCCTGTTTTCGGAATAGTTCTCCACTAAACACACCATGCCCATGGCCCCTTCATGTTGTCCAAGTTCCATTCTAGGTTTGTGTGAAGTTTCGAGATGAAGTTCGACGATGTACTCACCTTTCCATGGAAGGGAAAAAAAAGTAGCATACCAAACAGAATCCATGCAGTATTTGATGCCACTATCCTCATTCTTCTGCATTCAAAGTGTTTCACATCTATATGGCCCATGAACTGCAAACAATATTAATTTTGTCATTTCTTAAAACTGTTCATAGCTGTTCATAACTGTTCTGAACACATTGCCTTCAGGAAACGTAAGGCCGAGTCGCCTCACCGACTGAGCAAAGTTCTCTGCGACGAAAGTCACACTATCGGCGAATGCACTCAAGGTGAATACCCGTCAATATCCTGTATACTGCTTGTACAGCTTATCACAGTAGCATACACACAAGCACACATACACACACACACACACACACACACACACACACACACACACACACACACACACACACACACACACACATGCATGCTCGTGCACACACAAGCGCAAAATTCACATATCACTGGTTCAGTTGTTTTTATCTGTGTCGTATTTTGTCTTATACAGAGCTTCCGAGCCACGCCGAGTCACCTGACCAACTGAAGAAGGTTCTGTGCGACGAAAGTCACACTATCGGCGAATGCACTCAAGGTGAATACCCTGTGGACTGCTTATACCACTTATCACAGAAGCACACACACACACACACACACACACACACACACACACACTCACACACACACACACACACACACACACACACACACACACACACACAAGCGCAAAATTCACATATCACTGGTTCAGTTGTTTTTATCTGTGACGTATGGTGTCTTATACAGAGCTTCCGAGCCACGACGGGCCACCTGAATTCTCCAAACAAGGCTGAAGGCTTGTCACGGCATCCTTGCCAAATAAAGGTATAAGCTGCAGCAAGTTGTCGTTGCGACACCTTGCTCCTTCCAGCTCACGCCGCACGGCCACCAAGCACCAACCACCATGGTACTTTTCAGCAAGGTGAGACAAATTGTCAATCACCGGTTCGGGGATGGCTTCAGCAGCTTTGGATGGTGCTATTGACGCTTTCCTGATAGCAGCGGCAGCCGTGGCATGCAGGTAGCTTATCAGATTCGCTAGCACTGCAGATGTAACTTCCAAATCTGAAGAAGAGAAAAGAAAAAGACAACATATAAGGACTGGTGGTTGCAGAGACTGTACTAGTATTCAAAAGCCAGCGTTTGCATACCTAGTCTGCATACCTAGTCAGAAGCCAATTTTTTCCAACATGCATGCAAAACGCACTGACCTTCACAATGATTTTCACTTCGGGAATAGCTGTTGCGATGACGGACAGCATTTGTTGCCATGCTTGCGAAATATCAGCACCCTTGCATGCCTTCAGCTGGCACACTTCCTGGCGTAGCAGATTTGCAGTACCTGATGCCTTGTGTAACCGTGTCATAATAACATGCAGGAATGACTCCGTCGCCTCAGTAACACTCGCCTGTCTCATTGTCAGCAGTTTGCAAATTCCATGGATCACTGCACCTTCCATAGGCCTGTACACCATGATGGCACTACCACTCTTACATCGATCTGCACATAGACAAAGTATGGTTTGAGGATGGAGGTTTACATCATCTACGGTGATGATACATACTAGGTACACACGTAAATTTTCAGGACTTCAATAAATATCCTGTCACAGTGAACAGACAATGCATCGTGGGCAGACTAGGATGAAAAGGATGGTGTCGACCACCTAATTTATCGGGTCAGTTCGGGCACTTAGGTATGCTACAGATTATACATTCGTGTCCACAAGGAAGAGACAAAAACATGCAAACGAAAGAATCTCACCTGTAGCCCACAGCTGAACATCCCCACAACTCAGGTCACCAAGTGAATACGTGGCGTCATCTACATCTTCCACGGTGGACTCATCACTTTGGCAGTCATCTCTGTCAAGCTCCATCATCCTTTACTTCGAAGGCCAAGGCACAAAGTATTATTACTTAGAAAAACAAAACGAACTGCTGACACTGGATTCGTTGTGTGCAGGATAATTTTATTGAGTTTTCAAATTTTTTGGACCAAACAGCGAACGCGTCCTTTTGCATGACCTGCGCCGCTTTGACCTCATGGGAAGTCCCTCGCCATGCAGCGCGTGAGGTCTCAGCACTCGTGCCCGAGCTGAGGCAATCATCCGACGCGGTTGTGCATCTCGTGTCGCCTCCCGGTATTTTACGACTCCCTGGTTGGTATCCCTTAGTTCCATAGTTTTCCCCACTGATGATTGGAACGAGAAAATCGTTTTGGTTTTCAGTATTTATTGTTATAAAATGCACATACATGTCGAACAAGTCACGTAGTTGCGTGATGTCTACAGCCTTTATCCCATTCATAGATATAAAATTATTATCTCCTCGCAGATTAACTGGTTTAAGGGAAGGACAAAAACTGGAAAAGTCTGAAGAAAAAACTGACTGTCATAATCAAGACTCGAGCCAGTGACCCTCGTTTGTAGCCAGCGATGTTCTTACCACTGAGCTATGATCATGTAGTCGTCATCCCAGCAGAGGCATCCTGGCAGATCATTAAATTTTGTATATTTTTACTTGTTTATTGTTTCACGGAGAAGGCAGACAGCCCTAACGTGCCGGTTTTCAATGAATTGTTTTGAGTGTCGCCTGCACAAGAGGTGGTTCTGTGATCCAGAGCTGCATGGAAAAAAAGTACGCATACAAGCTAACAGGGTACGAGTACGATACGTGGAAACCTAACGAGGGCGACTAGCTAGATTTTTCAAGAATTAAAAACAACACCTTTCAAGAACTACTGGTACTTGACCAGCGGGTCCTAATCCGTGGGAAGTAGCGTAGTATGAAGCTGACTTCAAGTACAAGTAATAGTAATACTAGCAATAGTTGAAGCGGAGCCAAGCTAGGAGTACAAGTGTTAGTCGTAGGTGACACGCATGATCGGCACGTCCTTTAGAATGTTGAAACCTGTCATGCACGACGGCTTGTGTTTTTGATATTTACTGGAATAGGGTGCAAACGTGAATCTTACGACCTGATGTCATTCAGCTACACTGACTGACCGCGGGCGCCTGCTGCGTGCTGGCGCGTAGATCTACTGAGCACTTGGACTCGCTGAGTGTATGGTCTAGCTCTGGTAATAGTAATACTGTAATACTAATAGTAGTAATAGTAGTAATAGTAGTACAAGAAGTAGTACTGGTTGATTGCCGACAAGCAAGAGTCATAACCTGGTAATGTAGCATGATTTTACTCTTGCTACAAGAGATCATTTTCATTTTTGCGAAGGCTAGCAAGCACTTCGGTGGAATAAGTTAGTTAGCGGTGGTCGTTTTGCACTGGGGACAATGCTACCCGAAATTTACTGTCACCCTGCTGTCGGATTATTGATTCTGATGGGAATGTTTGTTTGGGAAGGGTATCTGATTTTCAATTTGTTGATGCAAGTCCACGAACATTGGGAGATAATTTCAGAAACTTGGGTAAAATAAGCATTCATGAATGTGTTCCAGGCGTGTAACATATTATCAAAACTTATAGGTGTCCCAATACCTTTGTTGAATTCGAAACAGGACGACTGACGACATATCCAGACATTACAACGGGAACAGGTAGGTTGGGACGACATTTATTTTAGACGACGAGACAAGAGACCAAGACGAACGAAACGACTACATGATGATTATTGACGAGTGAGAAAAGAGAGAAAGAGATCAAGTCTGAACGGCAAGATAAAGGGCCTGGGTAGCTATGGCAAATATGGGCGCGCAAGTAGCTACCCAGGCAAACGGAACAAAAGGAGACAAAAGGTGAGTACGAAAGTGCATGCAGGCCAGCTAGAAAAGGTACGGGAGGAGGTACCTAACATACCACCCCTCCATGAAATAAAATCCCGCGTCCTCGCGGAGAGAGAAAAAAAAGAGAGAAAAAGATTTTAAAAAATGACTGGAGGAGAAAAAACACACACACACACATATTGCACGCGCGCACGGATCTCACGAAAGTGTTTACTAAAATTGCACTACAGCTCATTCCTGTACTACTTACAGTGTGTAATAACTATTGGAGTTTGACGAGGAACGTGAATTACTAGTATTTTGCACGGCTAATACAGCCTAGTTACACTTTTGCTAAACATTCAAAAATTAGAGCGTGGCTCACCATGATCGGACCCCTAACTTGGTAATGTTTTACGAACACACGCGCGCGCACACACCACAAAAAATTCAGGAAAATAAATTTGACGAAGAAGCATACAAAAAAAGAAAGAGAGAAAGGTAGCTGACCTGCATGGCTTGAACGAGACGAGGTGGACATACACGAGACGAGGTTGGCGTAGGAGAGACGAAGTTGATAGAGACGAGACGAGGTTGGCGTAGGAGAGACGAGACTGATATGGACGAGACGAGGTTGACATAGACGAGACGAATGGCGGTTGAGGACGGCTGGGCATGGAATGATCTCAGGGTCGTGGGTCGATCAATAATCGTGCGCCAATGTTGAATTCGAAACAGGACGACTGACGACATATCCAGACATTACAACGGGAACAGGTAGGTTGGGACGACATTTATTATAGACGACGAGACAAGAGACCAAGACGAACGAAACGACTACATGATGATTATTGACGAGTGAGAAAAGAGAGAAAGAGAGCAAGTCTGAACGGCAAGATAAAGGGCCTGGGTAGCTATGGCAAATATGGGCGCGCAAGTAGCTACCCAGGCCAACGGAACAAAAGGAGACAAAAGGTGAGTACGAAAGTGCATGCAGGCCAGCTAGAAAAGGTACGGGAGGAGGTACCTAACACCTTGCTAGACGTGTCGTGGCCAGGAACAAGAGTGTGAGTGGATAACGAATGGAGGCCTCTGCAGTCTGGGTGGTCAAAGGTATCACCGTTTGATCGCAACGAGCCAATCAAGATAAAGCAACGCAGAAGGACATGGAGTGTCTGACGAACTATGCACCAGTTGGAAACGACGCCGCAACAGTCGAGCCGATGGATGCTACATGAATGTCCAAGCAAAGGATGATGACTTACTTCGCTGGCAAGCTGCTGTCCTTGGACCGCCAGGTAGCCTGTATTTAGACACACGCACTCCAGCTCCCTTCTACCCCTCTTTGATCCCCTTCGCTCAGCCTTAAAACCCGATTATCAGTTCACTCCATCTTCCTACGGTGCACTGCTTTTACTATTGTTTTGTCCTATCCCAATCTCAAATTCTCCCCATTATCGTTTGCAAAGCCAGTGCTCCCCTCTTGGATGCACATATTTCTTTTCTCCTATGTATCGGCGCACAGGAGTAACAATGATTCCGAGACCTTTGGTCGGAGGAGTTACTTTTGCCCCGCCCCCACTTCCATCCAATATGCCACCGCCCCCGCTGTGCAGCATCTGATGGTACTGTGGTATTCAGTAAAAAAAAAAAAAAAAAAAAAAAAAAACAACACCTATGAAAATGATAATCCTAGCACTAAGGTAATAACAGGAAAAACTGCGAAAGCACTTAACGAACTTGTAAGGACTACTAGTATACTGTGACACAAGCTATGACACCATGGCCAACCAGAGCCAAACCGACAGAACAAGCTGCCACTAAAACAATTTCAAACGAATAATGCTGTCCTTCTGGACACACAGATTAGGCTTATGAATACGTTGACAAACAGCTTCTAACACACTCAACTGCAACTTATAACCATGACGAGCACGGCACAAAACAGAAAAAGAAGAATCAGAATACACCTTGCAACAATCAGGACGAGATGCAAGATGCTTATACACTGATGACTTCCTACTAGAAAACACACGCTCGCACCCACTCTTACTCACACAATCATTCTCGCTCTCACACTCACCGGAATCACTGGACTCACTGGCCGAATCCTCCTCAACGACGTCCTGCCTCGGAGCAATCAGGTCCCGTCTCCTCCCATCCCTCGTCTCACGTTCCTGTTGTGTATTACGTTGGCTCGGTACTTCCGTACTGAAATAGGTCATGGTGTAATTGGCAGTTGTTCTTCTTTTAGTGGCAGCTTGTTCTGTCGGTTTGGCTCTGGTTGGCCATGGTGTCATAGCTTGTGTCACAGTATACTAGTAGTCCTTACAAGTTCGTTAAGTGCTTTCGCAGTTTTTCCTGTTATTACCTTAGTGCTAGGATTATCATTTTCATAGGTGTTGTTTCTTCTCACTCCATTTCTCTTTAAAAAAAAAACAGTTGATCTTTCCGTTGGAGATCCTCACATGGTGATCATACATTATGGCCAGCACTATAATTACGATAATTATGTAATATTATGTGAATGTGATTAGGTATGAAAAACTGCTGCCATAATGTGAGACAATTCCCCGCCACTTGCTCTATATCATTCTTATTTTCGCGAGAATACTCGCTCGTTTTCTCAACTAGTAGTCGAGTCCTCAATTTTGGCACTCGTTTCACCCCTACAATGTACATGTTTGTGATAATAATACTATGATAGCAGGAGTATGATAGCGGGAGTAGTAATTGCGTGAATGTATGCAGGGACAGGCTATTTTCAGAGGTAGATGCGGTTGGTGCAGGTCTAGCACCAGTAAGCACACGCTAAATCTCCCCTATAATTATACTAAGTACATGTAGAGCTGCGATATCGATCAGAGAGCGCTTTCGAAGTCATGTATCACCATCTCCTTCATCCATGATCGCTTTAGTTCAACTTCTGTCCGTTGAACATACTTGTACACGCAAGAATAAGGCCCGAGGCTTCAAGTTCAAGGGCAAAGCCAATGGTATTGTTTTAAATTGATATTTAGCATACAGACGAAGTAGCCACGACCCGGCCATTTGGGAATCCAATACACCACATCACCACATTGCGCTCTTCGCCTATCCAAACTCTGCACTCACATCATCATCACCACAGCGAGGACAGTTCCGGTATATAGATTGATATTTATAATGACCTCCAGGCAGCTGTTTCGCTTCTCCTGAGCTCAACAGTGGAGGCATGTGATGTTGATTGAAAGAATAATAAGAACACTGAACTGAGAAAAACGCGTTTGAAGTTGCACTTCAAATTTTCACGATTTCGATCAACTTACGCAGATTTCAAGCGGGCTTACACTAGTAAGCTGGCGATTCCGTGTGATTTCGTTTAGCTTTCGAGATAGCCATCACACTCAGCTGTCATGTACTTTTCACAGATCAAAAATCGGCCCACGCATCG